GTCTCTCCTCCAGGAAACATTCTCCGACCCCCAGACCAGGGCTGCTGCTCCCCGGGGCTCGTGCAACCCTGGCTTGTCCCAGCCACAGCCCTTAGCAGCCACCCACTTTGTAGTTTCCTGGTCACCTGTCTCTCAGGGTCTGGGGTACAGGTGGCCTTGCAACCTCATGGGTCACATGTGCTTGGGCCTGGCCCCCAGGAGGCAGCATGGCGGGAGCTGGAGGCAGAACGGGCCCAACTGCAGAGTCAGCTGCAGCGGGAGCGGGAGGAGCTGCTGGCCCGGCTGGAGGCCGAGAAGGAGGAGCTGAGCGAGGAGATCGCTGCCCTGCAGCAGGAGCGGGACGAGGGCCTCCTCCTGGCTGAGAGTGAGAAGCAGCAGGTTCGTGAGCCCTGGAGGGGCCCGGGTTCTGGGGCTGGTTCCCGCTTAGCCACCCAGCAGCTAGGAGCTAGGAGGCCGTAGCCATGCCTGGTATACAGTCGGAGCCTACTGAGTGGTAGCCTCAGTTGTGACACCATGAGCACCGGTTGCAGAAAAGCTGCCCCACGTTTTCCCATCTCCCCTCCCACCCTGGCTGGGCATGGCGTCCCCATGGCTGCCTTCTGAGCAGTCCCCACAGTGCCCACATGTATCAGCTGACCCTCCTTAAAAAGAACTAACTCCTGCCGAAACCGGTTTGGCTCAGTGGATAGAGCGTCGGCCTGCGGACTGAAAGGTCCCAGGTTCGATTCCGGTCGAGGGCATGTACCTGGGTTGTGGGCACATCCCCAGTAGGAGATGTGCAGGAAGCAGCTGATCGATGTTTCTCTCTCATCGATGTTTCTGACTATCTCTCTCCCTTCCTCTCTGTAAAAAATCAATAAAATATATTTAAAAAAAAAAAAAGAACTAACTCCTGACTTTCCATAACGTCATGAGGACAGGGCAGACTGCATCTTTCTCTTCTCTTCACCAGCTCTATCACCCTGGGCAAGTCACTTTATCTCCTTGAGCCTCTGTTTCCCCGTCTGTAAAGTGGGAATAATGGAGGGCCCTGCTTCAGGGTTGCTGTAGCATGTTAGTGAGATATGAGTTGTATCCATGTCCAGTTACTGTTACTCTTATATCCTTTTCTGGGGCTTTAGGAGGAGTGAGCCTGTACCTTTGTCCTGGGTGCACCTGTGGTGGCCCAGTCATGCCCCCAAGTCCACAGTGGGCACATTTCCCAGGGCAGGGTGGGGGGAAGGCCCAAGCATGCCCCCAAGACCAACTAACCCCCCAGACCCTTCGCTCTCTGCCTCTGCCAGGCCCTGTCGCTAAAGGAGTCTGAAAAGACGGCGCTGACGGAGAAACTGGTGGGTACACAGCACAGCCTGACCGCCATCTCCCTGGAGATGGAGCGACAGAAGCGAGATGCTCAGAGCCGGCAGGAGCAGGACCGGGTAGGTGGGCCTCCGTCTGAGCCGGAGACACAGCCCTGCCTGGAGGAGCCCCTGTCTGAGGGGGAGGCATGGCTCTGCCCTGGGGAAGCCCCAGACTGTGGGAAGCTTCAGCCCTTCCCTGGGAGTCCCCCTCTGAGGGAGGTAGCACAGCTCTGCCCTAGGGGGTACCCCCAGTCTGAGAAAGACTAGTTATGTAGACAGCACTCTCTAGCCATCAGGGGATCACGGAGGGTCTGGCAAGCCAGCGGGAGGGGCCGTGCTTGGTGCTGAAAGTGGGGTGCCGGGGAAGGGGACACAGCACCATCTGAGGAGCCCCTCTGTCCTAGGGCACCATGAACACCCTGACATCCGAGCTGCGGGACCTGCGGGCCCAGCTTGAGGAGGCTGCCGCGGCCCATGCTCAGGAGGCGAAGAGGCTGCAGGAGCAGGCCCGAGACCTGGGCCGGCAGCGGGACTCCTGCGTGCGCGAGGTGAGCCCTCCGCCCCACACCCTCCAGGCAGCACCCCCTACATGCTGCTGGGGGCCTGGTTCGGTGAGGGGCCAGAAAATTGTAAGGCTCTTTCCTGCATTCAAGGGCAAATGAACAGCCAGCTGAGAAGGGAGGCAGCGAGCATGTCTTAAGTACTTGTGATGTACACATGGGACTGGGGCACTCAAGGTGGTCCCTGCCCTTTTGGCATCGTCCAAGGATGATCCTGATAATTTCAGATCCAAACACTGCTGCCTCCAGCTTGCTTTGCCCGAATCATAACTCTCGCCTGTGGTCTGAGTCTAGGCAGAGGGATGGGGCAGGTGCCCCCTGGCCTGGGACCTGGGGATGGGCTGGTTTCCACCAAGGCCCCGCTTGAGTGGGGCCCGACCCCAGTCCAGTGACAACCAGGGTCCTCACAGGCAGAGGAGCTTCGGACTCAGCTACGCCTGCTGGAGGATGCCCGTGATGGGCTGCGGCGGGAGCTGCTGGAGGCCCAGCGCAAGGTCCGGGAGAGCCAGGATGGCCGCGAGGCCCAGAGGCAGGAGGCGGCCGAGCTGCGGCGCAGCCTGGGTGAGGGTGCCAAGGAGCGTGAGGCCCTGCGGCGGTCCAACGAGGAGCTGCGGGCTGCCGTGAAGAAGGCCGAGAGCGAGCGGATCAGGTGGGGAGACAGGCGGGACCAGCCCGGGGTCCTTCACTGAGCCCTGACCTTCACACTGAGTTTTGTCCCCAGAAGCTGACTTCACCCCCAGGGTTCAGGGGAAATGGCACGGGCGGGGAGTTTTTGCCCTTGAACCAAGCCAGGCACTGATGGAAGGGGAAAGGTGGCAGCAGGCAGGGTTGGGTCCAGACTCTGACCCCACCTGGTGGACCTCCCTGGAGGCTCAGTGCGTGCCCCCCTGCCCCAGCCACTGGTCCGTCTCTCCCAGCTGAGGGTCTGGGCCCAGCCCGGAGGGGTCAGCTCAGGACAGGGCAAGCAGCACTTGGGCACCTTCAGGCCAGGAGCCAGTCGGACCCATTCCAGGAATAACGGGAAGGGACTTCTGTGTAGAGCCACACTATATCTTGCTGGAACCTAGGCTGCCTCTGACCCTGCCCTTTTCAGCCTGAAGCTGGCCAATGACGACAAGGAGCAGAAACTGGCGCTCCTCGAAGAGGCTCGGGTGGCCATGGGCAAGGAGGCCGGCGACCTGCGGGCCGGGCTGCAGGAGGTGGAGCGCTCTCGGCTGGAGGCCCGGAGGGAGCTGCAGGAGCTCCGGCGGCAGGTACCCTCCCCGGGCACTTGCTGTCTGCCCCTGGGCCAGGAGCACCCCCTTTCTGGAGCCAAGGGCCCTCTGTATGTAAAACCAGGGGCTGAAACTATAATACTGCAAGCTTTGAGCATCACCAACACCCTGGGCCAGGTGGGGCTGTGGGTGCTGAGCCTGGGTCCTCGGTCCTACCTGTGTCCACTCTCTCACAGATGAAGATGCTGGACAGTGAGAACGCCAGGCTGGGCAGGGAGCTGGTGGAGCTGCAGGGCCGCCTGGCACTTGGCGAGCGGGCAGAAAAGGAGGGACGAAGGGAAGCCCTGGGCCTCCGACAGAAGCTGCTGAAGGGCGAGGCCGGCTTGGAGGCCTTGCGACAGGAGGTAACTAAGTGGGTGGCGGGCTGCCTGGAGGGAGAGGGTCCTCGGAGGCAGCCAGGCTGCTCTGTGCCTCTCTCCTCCTCCCTCTGCAAGGAGCAGGCAGGAACTCTAGTGCTGGAGTCATTCTGAGACCACTACCCAGCACTTGTCCCTAACCGATTGCTTAAGAATCTTCCCTAGTTATCTATACTTATAAAAGGGTAATATGCTAATTAGACCGGACATCTTCTAGATGTCTTCCAGACATCCTTCCGGACAAAGCCACAGTGGTGGGACCGAGGCAGAGGCAGTTAGGGGCGATCAAGCTGGCAGGGAGAGCAGTTAGGGTGATCAGGCTGGCAGGGGAGAGCAGTTAGGCAGTTCAGGCCATAGGGGAGAGCAGTTAGGGTGATCAGGCCAGCAGGGGAGAACAGTTAGGGGGATCAGGCAAGCAGGGGAGAGCAGTTAGGGGGTTCAAGCTGGCAGGGGAGAACAGTTAGGGGGATCAGGCAAGCAGGGGAGAGCAGTTAGGGGGTTCAAGCTGGCAGGGGAGAACAGTTAGGGGGATCAGGCTGGCAGGGGAGAGCAGTTAAGGCGATCAGGCCGGCAGTCAGAGTAGTTAGGGGCAATCAGGCAGGCAGGCAGGTGAGTGGTTAGGAGCCAACAGTCCTGGATTGCGAGAGGGATGTCTGACTACCAGGAGTCGGACATCCCCCAAGGGGTCCTGAATTGGAGAGGGTGCAGGCCGGGCTGAGGGATGCTCTTCTCCATCCCCCCACCCCCCTCATGGATGAATTTCGTGCACTGGGCTTCTAGTAATAGTAATAATAACTGCAAGAACTGTGTAGCAGGAGTGGGGGGGCGGGGAATTCTGTAGGTAGAACCTTGTTTGATTCTCCCAGCAGCCCCATTTTACAGAGAGAACCAAACACTGAGGCTCAGAGAGACAGGGATCTACCCGAGGTCACACACATGTAGGTCTGAATCCAAAGTCGCTGTCTTTTCTGGCTGTTTCACTGCATTGAATCTCCTGGGTGACATTGACTAAGTCACTTAACCTCTCTGTGCTTCAGAGCACTCAGGGCACAGGGGCTAGCACAGCCGGGGAGGTATACACAGAGATCCTGGCATCCAGGCGGTGCCCAGTAGCAGTGACACTGATGACTGGGAGGAGTTGACTCATTCTCTGTACCAGAGAGCTGTGTGTGTGTGTGTGTTTGTGTGAGAGAGAGACAGAGAGAGAGAGAGAGAGAGGAAGAGAGAAACAGGCAGAGAGAGAGATCATGAACTCCATCAGTAAACAGTTTTCAGTACATGCCCTCACTGTGTGGCCTATTGATAAACTGTGTGCTCTGAAAGGCAGCGTAGTCTAGCGGTGCGGAGAACGCCCCTTGGAGCCAGAGTGCCTGGCCTTGAATCCTAGCTCCCGGCTACTAGTGTGGCCTGGGCCAAGTTCCATCACTGCTCTGAGCCTCGGTTTCCTCATTTGTGGACTAGAGATGATTCACAGGGCAGAGCTGACAGTTTCTGGAAAGTGCTTAGTGCCTGCCATTGATAAGTCCTATCTATGCAAGCGTTAGCCGTCAGTTTACTGGTAATAAACTAGTGGGTATGTGCACAGAAGGAGGAGATACATTCTAATAGTCCCTCCCACACCCTGGATGGAACTCACCTGCTTGGATGGAGACCACTAAAGGAATAGTGGTCTCCCCACTTTGGGGCGGGGCGGGGTGGTGGTGGTGAAGAGGGGACTCTAGGCTAGACCTGGGTGTCAGGACGTAGAGTTGGGAGACGGCCTTGCTGGCTCTCACCTTCTCACCTCCGGGCTTCGCCCCTGCCCCAGCTCCAGGGAGCCCAGCGGAAGCTGCAGGAGCAAGAAGGCGAGTTCCGAGCCCGCGAGCGAGGCCTGGTAGGCAGCCTGGAGGAGGCGCGCAGCGCGGAGAAGCAGCAGCTGGACCACGCGCGCAGCCTGGAGCTGAAGCTGGAGGCGGCTCGGGCCGAGGCTGCGGAGCTGGGGCT